GGCTACACATAGCACAGAGAAATTGATGGGAAAAGTCCGTCTGACAGGACAGAGGTCAGATTTGGACTGCTCTCTGCCTCCTGGCTCAGTTTCTCAGTGCAGTCAGTCAGTGTGCACACAAACTGTGTTGACAATTCAGTCAATCTATTAGCAGAGGACTCAACTGGAAACTGAATCCTCAGGGGAAGCTGGATTAAGGTATGATGGTTCTGCATGGATTGATGTGTGTTTGTGTGCTGTGGTGGTGAGGTGGTGGGGTGGGGGGGGGTGTCTCGCTGCTGCACAGTCCAGCATGTCCGTCACAACCCTCCATCTGGAGCCTCAGGTAATGTGTGATGGTGATGCTTCTTACTCATTCAGATTTACACAGCACACACTTGTGTGTGTTTGTTTTTGGTTGTTGTGATGTCGGGTTACTTAATAACTGCTCGGTTGAACGGTGACATAAGGATTTTCTTCATATACATTCCCACTGCACCACATCCTGCGTGTGATTCTCAGCTCTGCTCGCTGCAGCTTCACGGCTACACTGGCCTTCACCTCAACTGTCAGCCTCTCCAACAGCAAAGATCATTCCTGATATAACTCCACCTCCACCTTGAACTCATCGGTCACTTCTATCATCATTATCTGTCCTCATGTCCTGCAACACCTCTTCTATGACTTCCTCTTGGAGTGCCACAGCTCCTCTCTTGACACCCTATTGTATGCTTTCTCTAGATCCACATAGTTCTCTGTCAACACTCTCAAAGCAAACATTACATCTGCAGTGCTTATTGTCAGCTGGAAGCCACACTACTGCTCACTGACCCTCACCTTCTTCTCAGCCTAGCTTCAGCCATTCCAGAAAGTTCATTCTGTTCATCTGGACGCAGCGTTTTCAGTGAGAGAAATCTTTAATTACTCCTCCACACGACTTCTTCGGTCTCAGCTGACAGCAGGTTTCTTCAACAGTACATTTGCATAATGACCTAAACTTACACCAATAACCAAGAGTGCACCACGAGCTCAGTTTCATCAGTTTTAATAGGCAAATTGTCATGGCCACTGATTACTGGTCATGGCAGTTTGCATATTAACAATACCACTCCCACTTCAGGAGCATCAGCCAGCTGTTGCTTCAGGTAGCTACATTTTCTTCCAATTTATTGTGGATGAAAATCAAGTCTTAGAATCTACCACAATTCACTGATTGCGTTAACTAAATGGATAACCTCATCAGGTTTACTATGTAGGAAGTAAAAGATGTCAGAGTAGTAGGGTGTCATGTGAAAGGCCCAGTCACAAGGAGGCATACGTCGGTATATTCCTAGCCTCAGTGAGGCCAAACGCTGAGGGTTTCTTCAGGACAGGCATCCAGCACGAAGTCTTGGCCAAATCAAAGATGTGGATCAGTGACTGCCTTCATTAACCAGGGTGCCAGTGATGCTTTTTTTGAATAGTTTTTTTCCTTGTTTGTTTTTCTCTTCAGGAACAATAAAATTGCTTTTTTTCATTCAAATTAGCACAACAGGGGGAAAAAGTGGCAACAATGAACACACATCAGTTCAAAGCAGGCTGAGAGAATCACCCAATCCATCGCTTACTTTTTGTAAAAAATGAGGGCTTTTGTTGCATGTCTAAGACACTGGTACACAGCTGTGTGACAGTCTTACATCGTTGTTCCCACAGCATTATTCAGGCTCTGCACAGACGTGAAGCAGAAAGTTGAGCAGAAAGCGTCGCATTAACTCAGCACATCAAAGCACACAGGTGGTAAATTGCAACGCGTCATAGTGTTATGACTCAGGTCCGGTGATTCCCACTTCTGCTGAGGGTCTACATAATAAAGAGGAATTTTTCTGCTTTTTCCATTTTATTTTCTGTCATGCATATATGCTGTGTGAGTAGTGAATGCTCATATTAAACACATACATATATATATAATGAGGCCAGTAAATGTAAAGCTCAGGCTTCAGACGTAGAGTTTATCCCTGATATGATTATCTCAGGCACGGAGCTCTGGGTGAGCACAGAAGCCTACCACTGTTATCCACGCAGCAAAGATCACTTCACGTCTGTCGTGCTTCCACAGTTTCTATCTTATGCTGTTATTTTTGTGTATTTTGCTCAATGACTTTTGTTTGGTGCTGTTTAGTTTTTAAGGTGAGTTTGCTGATAAATTCTTTGACACTGGCTGTTTGTCAGGGTTAAGATTTATTCAGCGACCATAACCAGACCAGCTGGCTAACAGAAGTCTAGGAATGCTCCTATATGCTGCTACATGATGTTTCTGTCAGGCCCAACCCACGAGCCATACTTTGAGAACCTGCAGCAACAATGCAGCTCATTGCTGTATCTTTGAATCGTTTGTGGAACACTGTGGCATGCCAACACGTTCCCACTCCCAAAGCATAACATTTTACGCTAGGTGACAAATCGTCTGTATATTACGCTTCCCGGCACCCAACACGTCCCTATATTACGAGATCAGAAAAATTAGGAAACATGAGAAGCGTTTGGAATGAACCTACATATGTATGTTCGTTTTACTTAAATCACTTTGGAAAACACTATCTAACGTCATTAAAGTGCTGGCTAGTGCTAGTTTAGGCTGGAATACATGGCTGGAACGTAGAGGTGGGAATCACCATACATCCCACGATACGATATTATCACAATACTTAACGCACGATATGATATTATTGCAATTTTTAACAATATTTTGCAATAATCAGATTCTGTACATAAAGGTAAACTTTATCAATATTCATTTTATCTAATATCAAAGTCTCACACTCAGTCTTTCTCTCATTTCAGTTTTATTG